TCAACTTAACTAAGCTCTAATAAGTTATATTTCTAATTTTGGAAACCCTATGTAGATGCTAACCTGGATTTCAGAACTAACGGATGTCACACATGTATTTATATATATGAAAATTGTATAAAAATGTTTATAGATTAAATTGTTTAAATATTTACTTGATTTGTTTCATTTATAACTATCATATGATATATAAAATCATCAAACAATTTCTAGCGGCAACTTGTCTAGTTCTGTCATCTCCAACTTTAGTCATACCAAACAACATACAGACAACTTGTCATATCCAGTTTTGTCTTGTCCTTCCCTTTTATCCAGTCTTGTATAATCATGTATGCATATCAAACACTACCATATGAGCTAAGTTAAAATGAAACTCACTTCATAATTTTTAGTGCTTGGATTTTAAATAAATTTGGGGGTGTTTGGTTTGATAGAATGATTTTTAAGGGATTTAGATTTTGTAGAATAATTTGAAATTTGAAGGATTTTGAATATTTGGTGTGTTTGATTTTTAGGATTTAGAATATAATTGAATTTCATTCTTTATAAAGAATTTATAAGAACAAGTTATAAATAATTAAATAACCTTTTATTATTTGATTATTTCTAGAAATATTTCCTTAACATTATTACACATAAATCCTACTAATCCCGTAAATACTAACCACCTCGATAGTATTTTAAAATCCCATGTTTTGTGGATTCCAAGTAGAAAATCCATCAAATCAAACATATGATTCAAATATAATTCAATTCCAAATTCCTCTTAATTCAATCAAATCTTACAAATCAAACAAGATCTTTTAGGTTCTGTTTGGTTTGCAGGATTTGAATGGATTTTGGGGGATTTGGATTTCAAATTCATTCCAATCTCATGTTTGATTTATTGGATTGTCCGGATTTGAAATCATATAAACATAGGATTTAGAAATCATATAAACATAGGATTTTGAAATTCTTAGGGAGTTCTTGGAAATTCACAGAATTTCGTGGGATTGTATGTAATAAAGTTCTAAAAAATGTTAAGAACATTTGTTTTGTAATAATCGATGAAAAAAGTGTAACTTAATTATTTTTATAATTATTTTTATAAAGTATTTATAGATAATTGAATCTAGTTCCATTCCAAATCATACAAACCAAACACACTAATGATTTCAAATCTATTCCAATCGAAATCTCTCCAAATCCAAATCCATCCACAAAATCCAAATCTCTCAAAAACAATTTTACAAACCAAACGGATTCTTAAATTATTTCATGGGATTTTGTAACATCTGTATATAATAATATTTTAAAATATATTAATATATTTGTTTTATAATGATATTTAATTAATAAATAAGTAGTTTAATTATTTTTATAATTATGAATTTTTGTAAATGATTTTGTAAAAATAGTTCAATTACGTTGTTATTAATTGATTAATATAAGACAAGTGTTTTTAACATATTTTATAGCATTATTCAAACAAATTGTATGAAATACCACGAAATGCCAACCACTCAATGGAATTTCCAAATCACATGTTCGTAAGATTTCAATTTTGGACTTTCTTTTAATCCATTACGGAATCAGAATGAAATTCAATTCCAAATCCTACAAATCAAACGGACCCTTAACAGTTTACTGTTATAAGTAGTGATTCATATCCATGTACAACGTGTTTTAAAAGATTGGTGAAAAGAAGAAAAATAGAAATCGAAGGAATTTTTTTTAATTTTGTTCTCGAAAGGAAAGAAAGAAAATAAAAAGAAAGAAAATGATTTTTCATATTCTTGAACAGGAGAGAAAGGAAAGTAAAGATGTTATTTTTACTAATATACCCCTTTAGAAATATATCGTTTAGAATGAAAGATCAGATAGTTTTATAATTTTAACAATGTTATTTTTCCTACATTTCATTCCGTTTCTCTCCTAAAAAGTTTCACGAACACGGGTTTTTTTTTTTTTTTACTTTCCTTCCTTGTTTCGAGAACACAGAGGTAATGTAATAACTGTCTTTCGGATTGGTAACAAATCAATTTTGTCCGTTTATCAATGGAGCAAAATGGCAATAAATCCAAATATTACTATCAAAGCTAACATATATATATATATACATATATATATTATATATATATATATATATATATTAATGGTATCCGTGTCAGTTATTTTTATTTATTGTTGAAAAGGTAACTATACGATAACGACCCAAAACAACTTTCCTTGAGATCGTTAAAACTGATTCATCTGGTGTTTGGAATGTTATACATAGTTGATGCAAGTCTTATGATAACAAAAATGATCGGGAAATTTACCAAAATAACTAATCTTTCTAACAATTCACTTTTTAGCCATTTTATCAATCGAGTTTGAATTTTATCTAGAGTTTATGCAGATGCCTTGATCATTTACGTAAACTTGAAAATAGGCTTTTATGCAAATGCGTAAGACATTTAAATAAATCTTGACCAAGATTGGGATCAGAATTCAAAAGTGATTAAAAAGTGAATTTGATTGGAGAGATTCACTATTTTGATCAATTTCCTGGCATAATAGTAAGCAAATTGTTATTGTTTTTCAAAATTAAATATTATTGATTATTTTTAAAAATAAATAGAAAATTAAATAAATATAAATACCAGATTCAGATTATCGAGAGCACCCACAAGAGGGTCAATAGTCTAGTAATATCCGGATTATGAATGGAGCCCAACTTTCTAAGCGATCAGTTGTTCAGACCTCACCAAAAATTACAGATATACAACATTATTTATTATATATATATTTTAAAAGAAACACAAACAATGATAAGGTTTTTTATATAAGTGATTGTACATTACCAACAAAAAATGGCATATTCTTGTTATAATCTTTTGTCACCATCTTATACGACCAAAAGATATGCAAATAAAGTTTGTTTACCCAGACGTTTATTCCATAAACATTTACCAGTAAGATTCAATACTCTAATTTATTTTATCAAATAAAATTGTAGTCTATTAAAATCATATTGTATGCGACAATTTATCCGGTAATCACTTACTGCTTAAAAGTCGTCACTCTCACTATACCAAGTAAGATTCTCGACTCCAGCTATCTTCATCCAATAAACATTTACTGAGTAAACATTTATCTAAATACTCTTCAACATATTACAGTGTTGTATACATCAAAAAGTAATATTCCAAGTATATAATTTATAATCTTGATTAGATAAATATTTAATATCGCCCACATTTTATTAATTTTACAGATTATCCCCATAACTTTATATTTTCACAGTGATTTTATTACCATACTATTTAAACCCAATTAGTGTAGTACATAAATATATGCGTAACGTAATAAATATAAATCATAAATATTGCCTCGATATTTATCGTACTATTTACATTATCCGGCTTAATTATTATAATAATAAAGTTATAATATAAATATATAAATAATAATTTATAAAATTAATAAATATAAAGATATTATTGAAAACTTGTTAAAATATTGTAATAAGCTTTCTAAAAAAACCACTACCGATGATGCTCTAAAAATATAATTTATCATAAAACACAAAATTCAAAAACTCATAAAAGATGATGTGCAAATTCGATAATTCAAATTTTTTTAACATACACACACATACATATATATATATATATATATATATATATTATACACACTATATTATAAAACATTTGACAAAAACTCTTAACTACCATTTTTTATGTATGAAATACTTCATCGATGTATATTACTTAAAATTCAAGATTACAAGTAAAATTTGCATAAATACAACTTATTAAAACTCTATGTTTGAATTCGTGTAACTAAATGCGGATAAACATAATCAAATAGAGGATAAACATCTCATTTTAAAAAAAATAGAATAATCATTGACTTTTAACAAAAAATACACACATAAAAAAAGAAATTTTAAATAATTAGTTTGGACTAATATTAATTACTTGTTTTCAATTTTTTATGATATTTTCATATTCATATTTTATTCAAGATTAAAAATATTATTTTTTCTTCTCAAAACCACATAAAACCGACATTGATTGAGACAAAAAAAATGAAACATTAAAATCGAGATGCATCTCTCTACATTGTGCGGGTACCTTCTAGTCTATAGTAAAGCATTTGGCAAAAATTATTAAAAACCATTTTTTATGCATAAAATATTGTTTATTGATGCATATTACTTAAAACGTCATTTTTTAATTTGTGTAACTAACTATAGATATACATAATCAAATATGAGATATACATCTTATTTTAAATATAAAAAATATAATATATAATTAAGATAATCATTAATTATAACAAAATTATTTCTTTATAAAAATTATATTATTAAATGATAAATAAATTACTTAGTTACTAAATCTAAATCTAAATTATAAATGAAATATTGAATTAAATAAATTACATAAAAAACCTTAATTTTAAATAGTAAATTTGATACTAATATCGATATATTTTTTTCCCAAACTTTTATAATATATTTAAATTTACATTTTATTCAAAAATAAAAACATTATTGTTTTCTCAAAAACCATTAAAAACCGTATTATATCGACATAAATAAATAATAAAACGAAACATTAAAATTGAGATATATCTCGCTATATTATGCAAGCACCCTTCTTGTATATATATAAGGGGTTTTAAATATAAATCCTGATTAATATAAACTTAGAAATCAATCAAATAAGATATTTATGAAAATGATAATAATTTATTTACCATAATCTACGTATTTATAAAATAAAACCAGATATTTATCATACTAAAATAAACAATTAATATCAATTTATATAATTTATAATTATGGGAGGGTTTGTATTTAAACTTCCTATATCTTGTAATCACCCAACTTTTATAAAAGAATTTAATGAAAATTAATAAATATAAAATTAAAAAAAAATCCACATATTTTATGGGCATATATTTTTTTGTCTATAAATATCCCCATTTATCCTCCCCATTTCCATCACTCTTCTCCTTCTTATACATCTCAAGCCTTAAACCCGATCACGCATATCGACTTGTACGTCGCACTTATCGACTTGTACGCCGGAGATTGTCGGAATGGAAGGCGGAATACATCCGGCGGACGCATCGGCGTTCAGAGACTGTTTTTCTCTTGCGTGGAAGAACCCTTATGTTCTTCGTCTTGCTTTTTCTGCGGGTATAGGTGGACTTCTATTTGGTTACGATACAGGTGATCATATCCTCTGTCTCTTTCTCTCTCTTGACTGCTCTCTCGCTCTAGTTTGTTAATGGTATTGGAGGTGTGATTGTGTAGGGGTGATATCCGGTGCGCTGCTTTACATCAGGGATGATTTCGATTCTGTAGATAGGAGTACCCTTTTACAGGTGAGTCTGCAAATTTCGGTTACCCTATGGATGCACACACACAATCCCGTATAATTAATGGTCAATTAGTCAATTTTAAATATTTATTTATTTATTTATTTTATACACGTATATGTATACGATCTCGATATTTTTGTGATTCGTGAAAACGGAATAATCAAAATATTTATGGAAGATAATTATTATAATAAATATTTTAAATTAAAAAACGATCGAGAAAATAAAATCGTCATCCGTCTTAATAGTCGGTCGAAATCGAGACTCTACATATACACAAACATATATATCATGAAAGAGAAAAAAAAGATTTTCGATTCTATTTTGGGTTTTCGAATGAAACAGTTGATTTGACGGTTTTGTGATTTAGTGGGTATTTGAGATTGCTTATTTGAAATAAGTTATGTTTTTCTATAAAAGAACTTATCAACTTATTACCGATTTGGCACCACTATAAGTTGTTTATCCAAAAATTCAAAAATGCTTATTATCAGTGTCACACGGGAATAAGTCAATAAATTATTTTTATAAGCAATCCTAAACATCCCGTTAATTAAATTTAAAATACAATTATTGTAATGGAGATTTGGTAATTTTAATGAAAGGGAATTTTAGGTTTTTGATAAAATTATTACTATTTAATAATAATAGTGATTATCGAAAAAGATATTAAATATAGAATATACTAGATATTATTCACTAGKTTATATATGAATAAAACAAATTAATTTAGTCAAAATATTTATTTTAAAATATTAAAAATTATAAAAGAAAATATTATAAAAGAAAATATTAAAATGAGTAAATGTTTTATGTGGATAAGATAAGTTTGTTGGAAGAAAAGGAATTATATCGACTTTAATTTATTTATTTGGAATATTATTTAATTTTCTACAGAAGAGTCCAATTTTGACACTTCAAGTGTATAGAAAAGTAATAATATAAAGGTACGACAAAATAGATGAAAATGACAATTATACTTAAAATTATATATTGAAGTAATTAAAGATTTATGCCGGGGTTTTTTTTTATATTTAATTATTTTCTTTTGATTTGAAATGAAGATTTCTTTTATATATTGTGAAACTTATATATTTAATATTTTTTAAAATATTATTTTTTGTTATTTATGCATGTAATGACAATATTAGCCCTTGGGCATGCCCAATGATTGAGGGCGTGGTGTGGGAAAAGAAACCACCCATGATTCTGGTCACTTCCTTTTCACTCGAAAGGTCAAAGTCGTCATATTGAAAGTTGAAACTATGCTAGTCAAATGGACCACCCTTGATATATAATATATATATATATATATATATATATATATATATATATATTTATAAAAGTGAGGAGAGGAGAAGTTATAGGGAGAAACGTAAAAAGAGATCTGAGTTTTTAATTAATTTTTAATTACATGTCCATCATGAATTGCACTTTAGAAATAATTGATCTGATACATCTTGATGCAGCTTATTAATGTTGACACTCAATTAAGTTTAATAATTTAATCCAAGCGTCAAAATCTCTTCTTATCATCATAACTTTCTTTCTCATCGGAGCGCAACTTTATATATAATAGAGAAGTGATCCTAGTTATTTGACTAGAATATAAACTATCAAGATTTGAGGGGGTAATTGTGCAACACCAGATAATTCGGTTGCATGGTAACAATTATACAGAAAATAAATGGGTAGTTTCGTAACTTTTACAAATAGGCGATAAATAGGTTATAGTATGTGAATATGTGAACCCATATGAACTATATGTGCATATGTGAACCCATGAATTATACGTGCATACGTACTATATCATGCTATGACAAGGGTATGTATGAATAGGAGGAGAATCCGCAATTGAATCAGAGGGAGAGGGTGGCTAAATGACAGCTGTGGATGGAGATTTGCACTCTTAGTTATGGAATTTCTATCATTTCTTGAAGCCACACACATATCGCAGTTGCACCCAAACCTAGCGTTTTAATTTTGGCTCATGTTTTTGACTGATTTCTAGTTAGGACTGCATCAATGACCACCCCCCTTTATACACATTGGTAGCTTCTCCGACAAAGAAGTCATTGGTGTTGACCAAAGCACCTCGGACCTTTGCCTGAGAAGCTACCAATATATATAGAGAGGCAGTCATAAACAATATTCCGAATACAAATCTGACAAAAAACATGACCTAAGATTATAATGCTAGGATTGGGTGCAGCTGCCATGATGATGGCTCCAAGGAAGAACAGAAAATCTGCAACAAGGAGTGCAAAATCTCCGTCCATAGTTATCATTTTGCCGCTCTGGTGATTGTTGCAGCAATCACAACGCTCTCCTATTGATCAGTGCAAGCAAGCTGGTCCGGACACCTATGATCAACAAAGTAATATTTTTTTATGGATTTATTAATTAAATTTAAATCAAATATTATATTTAATTAAAAAAGAAAATAAAATATAAATCTATTGTATAATAAATAGTCATCAGTTTGACTTATATGTCCAGTTATCTTTTATTTTAAAATATGGGTATTTCATCGGTAAAAGGAATGTTTTGTCCCAATACTTTTTTTTTTATTATATTAATAGTTTTACAAAAATATTCGTTAAACTCTTAGTTGCTTAGGGGTCGTTTACTTAAATGTTTATCTGGTGAACACTTACTGTTAGGAGTAACATTATAATTTATTTTACTGGGTAAGATTGTAGTACAACAATTTACCCGGTAAACATTTATCCGGATAATGGTCGTCACCCTCACTTACCGAATAAGACTCTCTATCTTTATCATTGTGTTTATCGGGTAAGATTTTTGACCTTTACCATGTTTATCAAATAAGGAAAATTACTCGGTAAGCACTTATCATGTAAGCGTTTAGTAAACGATCCCTTAATCGTTAAACGTTCTTTTAATGTTTTGATTTGTAATTTTCTTTTCGAGTTTTTGTAAATTTAGATTGATTTTTCAACAGGAGAGCATTGTGAGCATGGCGGTTGCCGGAGCAATCGTCGGAGCGGCAATTGGAGGGTGGCTAAATGACCGTTTTGGACGGAGATTTGCACTCCTAGTCGCAGATTTTCTGTTCTTTCTTGGAGCCATCCTCATGGCGGCTGCACCCAATCCCAGCGTTTTAATCTTGGGTCGTGTTTTTGTCGGATTTGGAGTGGGAATGGCGTCTATGACCGCCCCCTTGTACATATCAGAAGCTTCTCCGGCAAAGGTTCGAGGTGCTTTGGTCAGCACGAATGGCTTCTTGATCACAGGAGGCCAGTTTCTGTCGTACCTCATCAACTTAGCTTTCACAAAGGTTAGATAGTTGTAATTTACTGTTAAATTTACAGTTCTACCATTAATTATTACACTATGAATATTTCAGTTAATTAAAATACATTATAATTATCTATACTATATTATAAAACATTTGACAAAAACTCTTAAAAACCATTTTTTATACATGAAATACCGCTTATTAATGCATATTACTTAAAATTCAAAATTACAAGTAAATTATGCATAATTAAAACTTATTAAGTTTCATATTTGAATTCGTGTAACTAATTGTGGATAAATATAATCAAATATAAGATAAATTTCTCCTTTTAAATATATCTAAAATATAATTATAATAATGATTGAGTTCTAATAAAATACTTAGTTATTATCTTTATAAAACTATTATTAAACCAAAAGCAAATTACCTCGTCATTAAAACTAAACTAAATTATAATAAAAATTTTGAATTAAAAAACTATAAAAAATAGAACTTTAATATATATATTTTTTAATTTTTATAATATCTTCAAATTTATATTTGAAAAAAAACATTATTGCTTGCTAAAATCACATAAATTCATATTATAATATCGACAGAGACCAAAAAATAAAACGAAACATTAAAATCGAGATATATCTCGTTACATTGCACGAGTACCCTTCTAGTAATTTTTAAAGTATTCATTATTTATTACGGATATTTATTTTGCGACCGAGTATAAATCAATTTAATATTTAAATAAAAAAAATTCAATTTCAGTAATTTTATTTTTATTTATTTATTCATCTAATTTTAAATTTAAAAGAAGCCAAATAACTTTTTTCTCTATATATACACACACTAGAAAATGATAGCTCCAAAGAACCTCTTTTGTTTTTGGTGATTGGGTAAGCATGTGAGAAAAGTACCATTATGCCCCCACCCACCATGTATCTTTTCCCCTTCTTTTGGAAACAACCTACAATCGCTTCGTTTGCAATATGCCCCACGCAATCAACTTAACACTTACATACATGTATATATCTATATCTATATCTATCTCTTTGATACGTGCATACCTACAAGTTTCATGTGATTTGTTACAAGGGTAGTTTGGTCATTTCATCACACTATGATTGTCGTATTGGTATTTTTGTTTTCAAATGATGATCGTGAAGTGTCTACAATCATTTTGTTTGAAACGTTTTAACGCTGTTTTTTGTAAGTTTCTATATATAAACATATCTAAAAGTTTCATCTAATCTGGTTCAAAGGGTGTTTTTCGTAATTTTAGATCTTCTTGCCAAATAATAAACGGGAATTGTTCTTAGAGTCACTTGGTCTAACGTTATGTTGTTTTTTGTAAATTCTTTTATATACAAGTTTCATGTGGATAGGTCCAAAGGGTGTTTTGGTAATCTTAGGTCTTTGGTCATTGTACTTGTACATTTATTGCCAAACAATAATCGGGATTTGTCTAGAGTTACTTGGTTTAGCATGTTTTAGCGTTATTTTCATATCTAAACGTATCATCTGATTTGGTCCAATGGGCGTTTTGGTAATTTTAGATATTTTAGTTTATGTACTTCTACTTTTGTTTCCAAATAATATGTGGAACTACTTATACTTGGTTTAGCATGTTTTAACATTGTTTTCATATCTAAAAGTATCATATGATTCGGGTCCAATGGACGTTTTGGTAATTTCAGATATTGTAGTTTACGTACTTCTACTTTTGTTTCCAAATAATATGCAGAACTACTTATCGTTACTTGCTTTAGCATTGTTTTCATATCCAAAAGTATCATATGATTCGGGTCTAAAGGGTGTTTTGGTAATTTCAATTGTCACGTGCTTGTACTTTTATTGTCTAATAGTTTGTACTTTAGGGTTGTTTTTGCAAAATCCTTTTCTATTAGTAAATATTTTGAATTCTTTTACATCATTCAGTACAAAGGTTACTTTGGTAATTTCAAATCTTTTGATCATGGTACATGGACTCTTTTGTCAATTTACTTTTAATGAGTTATTTATATATTTTGATTAATTTATTGAAATATATAAAATAATTATTCTTTATATATCATAAGAAAGTTTTTGTCAAAACAATCAAAATGACACATAAATAAAAAGATTACGTAGTTTCCAATTTTTATTTTATTCATTTTCTATATTATTTTTTATTATTAATATATAATAAATTACATAAATTAATAAAGGTGTAGAAACCGTATAAAATAATATTTTGAAGATAGTAAAATGAAAGTATAAAAAACATAAAATTAAATAAAATTAAAGACTGTAAAAAATGTAAAAAAAAACCCATTTAATGTCTATTTCATATAAAAGTTCTATCAAACATGAAACAAAGATGCCTATTCTATTCTATCATATCAATGTATCAAAACTACCCTTGAAATCGCTTTGTTATTTTTGGGTACCCCTAGCATTGTTTTTGTAAAAGCATTTCATGAGATTCCATTTTCAAGGAGTAATTTGGTAATTTTCACTTATTTGCCAATTAACAACAAAAGATAGTTTTTAACCTTTTTTTTTATATTTTTAACGACTTGTTAACTTTTTACGATGTTGATTCTTGACGGTTATTGGTTGTAAATCAGGCACCGGGAACATGGCGATGGATGCTCGGAGTTGCCGGCCTCCCGGCCCTCCTACAATTCGTGCTCATGCTAGGCCTTCCCGAGTCGCCACGTTGGCTATACCGCAAGGTCCGTTCTCTCTCTCTCTCTATATGTGTGTGTGTGTGTTTTTGTGTGTGAGAGAGAGAGGAAGTTCATTTCAGAAACAATAAATATTTGAGAACTAACTATTCATTAATGAATATACCTAAATATCTATGAATATTAATTAAGCATTTTCATTATTCATAATGTTTATTGTTAATATCTTTCACGATATTTATCATGAATAATTGGTTCTCATGGTTTTCAATATTTTTACGGTTTTCATATGAACCAATCTCTATGTATGTCTGTGTAGACATATGTATTTATGAGGTAGACATCAAAATGTATCGATTTGTCGACAGGGAAGAGAGGAAGAGGCAATAACGATGCTAAGAAAGATATATTCGGCCGAGGATGCCGAAATGGAGATCCAAGCTCTAAAGGAGTCGGTCGAAAAAGAGATCGAGGAAACGGGATCGTCGGAGAAAATCAACATGATCAAATTACTGAAAACGACGACTGTAAGAAGAGGTCTCGTAGCCGGGGTCGGGCTTCAGGTTTTCCAGCAATTTGTTGGAATCAACACCGTGATGTATTACAGCCCGACCATCGCTCAGTTAGCCGGAATTGCTTCGAACCAAACCGCACTTCTCCTCTCACTCGTGACAGCTGGTCTCAACGCCATGGGTTCGGTCGTAAGCATTTACTTCATCGATCGAACCGGAAGGAAGAAGTTGCTCGTGATCAGTTTGATCGGTGTGATTCTCTCGTTGGGCCTTCTTTCGGCTGTGTTTCACGAGACCACAACGCACTCACCGGCCGTTAGCCGTACAAATACGGCTCAGTTCGGAAATGTAACGTGCCCGGATTTCAGCTCAAGCAGGCCTTCGGTTACATGGGATTGTATGAAATGCTTAAAGGCTTCGTCTCCAGATTGTGGATTCTGTGCTGCTTCTGGTGATAAGGTAAAAAGATACTTTTGACTTTTATGGTCAACTTAGCTAATCTTTAACGTGGTAATTTATACGAATCCTTTTACGATTTCAAAATTTACCACAACCGTCTACCAAACGAGAAAGTGAAATCGATATGATGTTTAATTTACGCTAGAAAACGTATTATATCGTATCAATTTCGCATTTGAAACTAGTATGTTTGACTTTAAATTTTTTTTTTGGTCACAGTTGTTACCCGGTGCTTGTTTGATCTCGGATGATCCGGTTAAGAAAACTTGTCATGCGGAAGGTCGATTATGGTACACTCGGGGATGTCCGAGTAAACTCGGGTGGCTTGCACTCGTCGGGTTAGCACTCTACATCATATTCTTCTCTCCCGGAATGGGTACAGTCCCATGGATCGTTAATTCCGAGATATATCCGTTACGGTTCCGAGGGGTTTGTGGTGGCATAGCCGCAACTTCAAACTGGATCTCGAATCTTATCGTGGCTCAGTCGTTCTTATCGTTAACCGAAGCCATCGGAACCGCATGGACCTTTTTGATTTTCGGGGTGATTTCGGTCGTGGCCTTGTTTTTTGTGCTTATTTTCGTGCCGGAAACCAAAGGTTTGCCGATCGAGGACATCGAAAAGATGCTGGAAGAAAGGGCTTTTCAGTTGAGATTCTGGGCGAAAAGGCCACAGAGTGCAAAGAAAAGTGCCAAAATTGATGCTTGAAGTCGATGGTTAATATCTGCAACTCATTTAGTATGGAGTATTTTATGGTTTTAGAGGGAATTGTATTTTTAATTATTCCACTCGAAGGAATAGCGGTTAAGAAAGTGCGGTTATGGTAAGAAACGATTGCAGGGTCCACAAATGGACCCTGCAGTATCGGTACCGACAGAGGGCCTTTCTTAATCGATATTCTTCGTATGAGAATACCGTTAATTTATATTGTATCCATTGGTATAAGATGCAAATTGGTTATATCAGGACACTATAGATTTCAACAAACAAGTGTTGCTATAAATTTGTGAGATTATGTGAAATCCTTTTCATTTGCCGTTTTAAAAGACCAGTTATGAACTTATTGAGAGAGATCGAGGTTCTTTTATATATATGTAGACTTGGGATTACGTGAGACTATTTTTTTACGCTTGAAACATCACAACAAAATGTTGTGAAAGTAACATTCATAGTGTTTTTGCTGTGAAGGTTCGGTTTTTTCTTACTTTCACAATTTCAAGTGTAAAAAAGTTCTCTCACGTGTCTCACGAAAACAGTCTTGTTTCTTGATTATATATATATATGGAGTATCAAACGAGAACGATACTTATTTAAAAGAACACGAAAAATAAGCAAATCACATTTGATTTTACACTAGCATCATATACAAAATCACATGTTATCCGAGCGACCTTCACCAGTGACTTGAAGACAGCCACAAGTCGTTTGGAAACTTTTTTGATATACCATTTATGAGACACATTTATGACACGTAACGCTATCCTTTATTTTCCAGTTCACAACATAAAATCGATTTGCAATTAAACTCGCCCCTATATACACATACATACTTTTTGGTTTGTTTCTAGTCGATATTGGACTCTAACAGTCCCCGTCAAATGGAGGTTAGATGGTAGAGAATTTCTTCGGGGTTGGGGATTTGTATCATGCTAAAATTTGAATCGACAAAGATTTAATTATTGCATTTGTATAAAAGTAACATCAAACAAATCTATATATATATATATATATTAAAGAAAGAACCAAAAAGTAGTTCAATGATAAATTTCTATCCTTTTTATCTTTTTTCTCATAATTTTGATTAATTTTTAATATACAATCAAAATATTAATTGCTAACACTTTCACATTATTACTTTTTTAACTTCATTTTCATTATTTTATAAAGGAAATTTTAACCCACAAATATATACAACTATGTATATTTTATTTACATAAAAAACTTGTATATTTTTAATTACATGACGATTTGATAAGCTTATATTTAAACATGTTTTTATAATGAATCTAGTATATATTGTCATGTTTATATAGCTTATAGAACCCCTTTAATTTAGTTATTGATTGGTCTTTGATAGGTGCAAAAAAAAGATGGATTTTAATACAAACAGAGCATATATTTCGAAACTGTTACAAGATCGGGCATAGTTTTATGAAGGAATATGAGGCTGAGCATACTTATGAAATGGGTTCTGGACTGGGCATACGAATTTAAATGGCGTGAATATGAAATATATTTTCTCCAATGTTCTTAAGAAAAAGCCCAAAGAGAGCCCATATCCTCTCCACATTTTGGATCGGCCTGAGGCAGTTTCGATAGAGGAGGAGACGACTTCTGTTCGTGGGGGATTGAGGGAGCTAGTTCGTGGGGTTCGAAGGATTTAAGAGGGGGCTGGTTCGACTGGAGAGATATTGGGAGCGATTGAAGACAGCGAGGATAGAGCGTGAGGAAGACAACAATGGTTCGTGGTTTTGGATTGGAGAAGCATTGAAGGAGATTCATCAATTTCAAAATTAGGTTAATATCTCTTCTCAATTTCTTAGTTTGTGTTTTCAATTAGCCATGTGTGGCTAATTTCTTTATAAATTCGACCTTAGATTGTTTAGTATTTGCAAGTTCTATTTTTACTAGTTGTTTGAGATGATGTACTACCATTTCACTTTGATTATTCACCCAATTTCTGAACTTAATATCTTATAAAATTGAATTTTATGCTTTCTGATCAATTGTGTGGAAATCGATTATGGTTATTTTAGTTTCCTAAATTCGTAATTATTTAGTAAACTAATATTGATGACAAATAACAAATAGGTTTTGTTGTAGAAAATTCCTATCTTTTGTTACGAAATTGGGTGAAACGGAAGATTTAGATTAACCAAGCTCGTGTGTTAATTTATCCGACCCGGGTTCCATTGATTCTTCATGCTAGTATCAATTTGGCTCTTAAGAGCTTATTTAAGGTCAATTGCATATTAAGGTATGAGAGGAGAGCTTGTTCCTCTAAAAAATTATGTATGTTGAAATTAATTGTTAGAGCTCTTTAACAATTAGAACCGGGTTAATCGAAGTATGTGCGGTCGCCTTATACATCGTCAATGATAACAACTCGTGAATAGAGTAGCATTTATAATCAAAGTCGAGTTTATTTTTATTCCAATCGTCTACAATTACTTTTATTCGCGTGTTTAGTCTAATTAATCAAATCCAACCCCCCCCCCCTTGTAATTAATTTTAAGTTGTCGCTTTGTATTTGATTTTTCTAGACATAGTAAGTTAAACCGAGTCCCTGTGAATTTGACCCGACTTACCGCTATTACAATTTTGATTGTAATTAGCACATAGTTGGAATTTATTATTTGGTGGACCCAACATCCGTCACGATTAAAAAAAATAAATCAACAAAATCAATCGATATATACATATATGTGTGTGTGTGTGCATGTGAAAATCTATAATAACTTCCCAATCAATCAATAGATCAATATAAATGCTAAAGGAATATACAAAAGTAAATGATGTGGCACAATGAGGTTTGAGAATTGTTCGAATCTTGAATTGTGGTGTAAAATTTATTACAATTATATATATATATATATATATATATATATATATATATATATATATATATCAATTTATTTTATCTTTTTAATTTACGTTGTATCAATCTCTTCTTTTCTCTCTCCATAACTTATAATTTAGTGAAAATAAATAATATTAATTGATCAATATTTATTAATTTACATTGACTTCGAACTTATAAAATGCAACCTCTCTCTCCATTATATATATCATCAATATAATAATTAGAATATTAATGATAGTAAATAACATTTATTGATTAATATTTAAAAACATTTATTTATTAATTTGTACTTTGAAATTTGTATTAATACATGTTTAAGTCTCAAAATATATCTACAATTTTATAAATGTGTAATTATTACACTTTTTAATTAACTACGTGACAATTCTATCATCCATAATCACCTACGGTTTCCCCAACAATCAAAAGATGCACTTCATCACGCTATCTGAAAAACCATAACGAACCTGCAATATGGTTAAAAGCGCGATGTCGTAGGAGCCAAAGACGTGATAACAGAAAGTGGTCAACAGGGAAAAGCAAAAGAAAGCCAAAAGCTTTGTAGCGATAAAAATAAAGACGGGAGTCGTGGCTACATATTTCCGTCACAAAAGTCATGAAAAACAATATCATATAAATTTGACAAGAACATAAAGCTTTGTTGCTTCTTCTTTCTTTAAAAAGCAATATCATCACTACCAAAAGTCGTTTTTCATGATGGCTCAAACCATCTCTAAGTGCTTGCGCGACTGTTAAACATTAATAAATATATACGACATGACCTGAAAACCGAACTGACAAAGGTTATGTTATTGATAACTGATATCTATACACATAGTATATCAGTGTTCAAATTAACATCAATAAACACATATGTTTCAATACACTGTGTTGTCAATCTGTTATCCCATCAAAGACATCCTATGATACATATACCTTCAATATACAGATCGACAACATCTGGAGCCACAATGTTGACCGGAGAGATGCCCAACCCCGCCTTCCCTCAGAACCGAACATTATGTATTATTGATTAAAGCATGAACTCAAAACTCAAATATTGCTATGTATGTATATAACTTCTGTAAACTTTACGTTTTAAACTTCGTAAACAAACTAATAAATACATCAGATACAGATTTATTGAATTGTATTAATACGACAAAATCCTTCAACCCTTTTTTAATTATAAATTGATTAATGTTCCACTAGTGTTTATAGAACTATCGCCTATATATGATCCAAACGGTTGTTTGATTTAAGCTTCTGTCGGGTGGTCCAGTTGACAAAGGAGTAGGATGATATTACGTAAATACAAGACAAAGGGTAGCCTTAACCGTTGAGTCAGCCGAAAAAACGTTTCCTCGTATTAATATTCTTGAAGACGGGTTTTATATAAAACTGGTTAGGTTATCAGTAATCAATTATTGCGTAAATAAATTATTTGATTTGAATATGTAAATAAAAAATTAAACAAAAGATGACGTCATTAACTTATGGGCTGTGTTCTTGTTCAGGCCCAATATGAGATTTGGAGTTATGCTTTTGGGTTGTATTCATGTTTGGACTTCAATTAATTAGTTTTTCAAACATTTTGTATGTATGGTAACATTGAAATCCCTTTTTTGTATGTTTAACTTGAGATCATGTGAGACCAAGGGTTTTTCATGAGACCCGTAAGATCAGTTTTTAACTCTTGGATTAGATCTACATAATCTAAACATTCATAATAAAAAAATTTGCCACGAGACTTCTCAATAATCACAAAATTGCCACCGTGCAGCTTTAGACTATTAGATCGTTAGCTTATAAAAGGATCAATGAATATTAATTGGTCTTACGGGTCTCATGAAATACCCTTGGTCTCACGTGGACCCAACCCTGATTAACCTTTCAAACTATAAACCAAACTGTAATGAAAGTGCGGAGTTTTTTAAATCGTGCGGTTTACAATGAAATGACCAGATCAGTTAAACCGTCTTAGCAGTTTGGAATTATGATGTCCCATGAGATAAAAATATGTATACATGAACTACGTACATATGTTACTCTCAACAAAATGTTATCGATTAAGAATCATATTGTCATCCATAGTTCAACAAGAAATGATGAGTTTTGAGAGAAGTCGGATAATTACAACGAGAAGACAATCAATGATTGACACGAGTTGAGAGAATGAGAAGACATAACAAATCAGGGATCAGTGTTCTATGTTTGACTTTACTTTTAGTTGGAATAGAAAGGAACATACTGGAACAAAGTAGAACAGTTGTGTTCTACAAGGTGGAACAAACTGGGACATATTCTGTAATTTTATTTTCAATCATACACATCAAAATTAATTAGTAATTGTATACATTACCCATTTCATATATATATATATATATATATATATATATATAGAGAGAGAGAGAGAGAGAGAGAGGAGTGATCATATAAACCGCCCTCATTTGTGTAAACCGT